ATTTTTTTTCTATATTTTAGAACAGACATGGGCAACTTTTCTTGGTTCTGAGGCCAAATTATCATTCTCTCTCCGAGTCAAGGGCCAAACTAAATGTAATGTTGTATGTGATTATGGGTTTGATACAACTTTGGCTAAATATTAAATAAAAAGGGCTAGTATATTAAATAAAATTATAAAATGAAACACGACACTAATCAGTACTTAGTGGGCCAAATTTAAAGACTTCGTGGGGACGGATCGGGAGGGGCAAACTAAAAGAGGTCGCGGGGCAAACTAAAAGAGGTCGCGGGGCAAACTAAAAGAGGTCGCGGGGCAAACTAAGGAGCCGCGAGTTGCCCACATGTGTTTTAGAACCTTAGAAACTCTTCTCTCTTAACGAGCGTTCAGGCGATCAATATAATTGTCAATATTTCAGGGTTCTCAACGTTATTGTACGTGAAAATACTGTGTTGACAATGTACGAGCCAATCAGAAGCCGAAGTGACTAACTCCACAAAATTAAACTTATTAAAAATTTTTTATTTGTGAAGAGTTAAGCACCAAGCATATGTTTTGATGCTAAAATTGGAAGCATTTCAAGAAGGGGAGTTAACCCCTTGCCGTATAACAACGAGTCAGACTCGTGGAAAATATTCTGGTCAAGATGTGATAAAAACAGTCGTATCGGAAACTGAAGATTACCAAGTTTAATTGATCTATAATACACTAGCATTTCTTACTTAATACAGTACTGAAACAGTAAATAGCTGACGCTTAGATGCATAAAAAGGAAAAGAAATTTTGGCTTCTGAACGGCTCGTATATCGATCGTCTGAACGTGCCCTTAGACTTACGAAAATTAGTCAAAGAAGTTGGCGAAATAACGGTTTCTCTCAGCTTGTATCTGCCTAAAGATAACAAGGCGAGAAGCTGTAGAAAAACGAAGGGTGAAAACGACCCTTGAATCGGTTCACCTGTGCTCGATAGTTCACCGGCACTCGAGGCAAGTAGTAGCAAGCAATTCCGTTCGCGTCTCGTATCAAGAAATTAGGGGGAGAAAACGACGAAACCAGAGAAAGGGAGAACAAGCCGGTTTTATTGCTTCCAACGGGCGAAACATCCGTCGCCGAGGATCCCGGAAACGAGACACGCCTCTCGAGTCGAAATACGCGAAAGATTGCACGCGCTAAGGGCGCTCCAGAGTATCGAAATAGCGCCGCTTATTGTTGTCAGAGAGAAGAAGAGAGGAGGAGGAGGTGGGAGGGTGTGTGGGTACACAACGATCGGCGACAATGTGACGGTACATAAGGGAAGTGCGGAGACAGGGTGGAAAATTAGGAAAACGGATCGTGGAACCGCGAAGCCATTAAACTTCGAATTAAGTTCCGCTACACACACTCTTCGCGAATTTCTCTTTACCCACGATGTCTCGTTTCCTCGAGATTTCCCTTTCTGTCCGTGAGGAAATTTGCAAGTAACGTGACGGTGATACGATGAATGAGATATTCGAGAAATTGAAATGGATGGAGAAAAAAGAATATATAAACCATTTACCGTCTTTATATACTTCGTCATTCGTGACGAATGATATTTCACACTCCTGTGTACTATTTGGTTGGTGCATTTTATACACTTTTCCCAACGATCAGCTGGTTTCGTTATTCCAAATTTATTAAAATCATTAGCCTCTGAATGAAAAAAATTCTTTAAATGCTATTTTTAGAGTGTTCTCATTTCGGAATAATTTATTTGTCAAAAAAATTGTTCGGGTGTTTGAAGAAACGGTAGTCTGTTGGGGGAAGTGTGGCAAAATTTCATATTCTTTATCGTGAATAGTTTTCAATAATTTTTCTTAAAGAACATTATCATCGACGACCCTACTTGGCCTTGAAAATTCATCAATTTTAAATTTTGCACACCAACCGTTGAAGTGTTCCTAACATTTATACAACCTTTATTAAATGCTAAATTCATATTTTCAGCAGTTTTTACCGCAGTTTTTCCAAATTTCGAAACAATTATAATTTTTTTTTTTTGCTATTCAATACACTTGCACCACAGCAAATTCCTTAAATAATATATTTAATTTACACTAACCCAATATAATATTCCAAAAATCTCTACATTTTTTTCCAAAATTAACTTTTAGACAATCTGAAACACTCTACCAACCGCAATTTGTTTAATTCCCAACGTGTCACTAAAGTACATTTAATTTTTCATTTCCTTCGATCAAGTCTAATACGAAATTTCAAAAAGAAAATCCTGAATGAAAATTGCTTCATTTCGATGAAATACTCCGCTAGACGGAATGCTCAAATAGTCATCGTTAGACGAGCGAGTGTGTCAAGATCGTGGCGAAGACGGGGGGTGGCGAGGGGAGGAAGAGAGTGGCGGAAAGGCCGACAAAGCTCCAGAGAAGAAAAGTCGCGGGGCCACTCGAGGCTAGGACAAAAGGTCTGCATCGTTCGGTTTTACCTCTTCTGAACGCGAAAACGTAACGAGCCACTTGGCCACGTTGCATATTCCGCCGCCTGGATATCCGGTTTCGTTGTTACGTGAAAATCTGCCCTCCCCGCTAATTAAAAGCCCAGGTTCAATTGTCATTTTCGACCGGCTCTCGTTTATCAACTTCCAGACCTCTACTACTATTATATTTGCCTTCAAGAATCCAAACCATCTCGAGACTCTTTTAAAATATTTGCGCTATGAATAAAACTATCAGCTTGAGTCGTGGTTATTTTGTGATTCATACACCGTGAACCACTATATATACCTCTTCGTGTTTAAAAAAGAGAGAAAGAGAGAGAGGAAAAACCACGGTCTTAATTGGAGAAAATTGAAATTCCGAATCACATACCATAGACACTCCATTTTACGCCGTTTCATTTATTTATTTATGCTAAATAATACCGGCGAAGAAGAAACAAAATATTAACATTTAAAAGACCGGCTCA